ACCCAGCAGGCCTGTGGTAGAACCAGGAAGAGAACCTAGAGCTCCTAGTCTAGTGCTATATCTACTGGGCCATAGTGGAAATGAATTAGGCCCTGCTTCTGTTGGCTTTCAAATTAAGTTAAAGAAAACCACTCCAGTATTTTACATTTCCCCCTTAGCGGCAGGTGAGTGCATGAATGGAGTTACAGTACAGCCTTGTGGCGAGGGGAACACATTGCTGGGCAGAAGGGGGTCAGGAACACAGGCCTGGGAATGCAGGCCTCTGCTGGGATAGTGGGACCTGCAGTTTGCTGAGCACTCCAGCCCTGACCCAGATAAGCAGGCGTGTAGTCCCATCCAAAGCAGGAGAAAAGGATTTTTTCCCCCTCTGCTTTTCTTTCCCTCCCCTCTTCTCCATTATTTTCGTTAGGGACAGGGCAGGTTGGACACACTTTTCCAGTATTCACCATCTCTTTCCCTCAATCTCCTCTTTGTTCCCTTTCCTCTACTGGCATGAACTGCAAACTCGAAATCAGCCTCCATTTCCAGAAAAAAATAAATTCCCTCTTCCTCTCGTTCCTTAGAGGTGCAGATTCACTGATTAATCCTCCCTGGAAAACCCATTAATTTAAATGGATGCTTTTGTACATCGGGCTCTATTTGTAAGGAGGAAGGGTTCAAAATGGAGGACAGTGCTTTTGTATGCAAGCCCAGCCCTCGGTTGGGGGGGGGGTATGATAAACTGGGGAAGCACTGCCTGGGGGCTTATATATACAGCTCTGGTGCGAATAACTGGTAGCCTGGTTTGGTTTTTGAAGAAGTGAAGAATTAATGAGACTGTCTGTTGTTTTCATTGCCTGATTACAACTTTTTTTCCCCTTTAAATGTGTATGTGTATCTATCTAACCTCATCTATCCAATTCTTTCCTTAAATTGGTTATTTGTCTTGCCTGGTTTATAAAAACATTTTTTCTTTTCTTTCATCTGATATTCCCTTCATTCTTGCAAGCACACCTTGGTTAAAATTATTAAAAAACCACCCACTAACGTCTTTACTTTTTATGAATTGTGCCTTAGATTATTTATACTGACAGGATTCTGAAAATCTATTTTATGTTTCACTATTTATGTTGTTCGTCTACTTTCGTATTTTGATTCTCATACACTAACTCACTGGTACAATATCGATTTGCAAGCACTGCAAGGAAATTTATAATCCAAATTAAAAAACAAAACAAGACTATTGTAATGAACACACCAGAGTGTACATGAACCAGTGCCCTTGACTGGATTGACTCAGAACTGCTCAATTGTGTGTCATGTGCCCTATACTGCTCACAGCTAATGTAGATTCTCCTTTAACTCAAGTGGTAATGGACTCCGCTGGAGGAGGAGGATCTGAGCTCTATCCTTGGTGATGCTATGAAGTTCAGTGTGGCTATGGTGAACAACAAAAGGACAACCATGGAGTCCAAGACTCCCATGGATTTCTTACAACATTTTATACCTGTTTTTCACACTGTAATGAAAATATGTCTAGTAGTGATTGGTTTTGTAAAGCCTTTTAAAAAAACAGGTTAGACTAACTCAGAGTCTGACTGCTTTCACAGAACATACTAGAAGATCAAAAAGAAATAATTAATAAGGAAGAACTCCCTGCAACGTGTAGATGGTGAAGAGCAGTACACTCCTCAAAGTCTCCTATAGACATTGGTGTGCAGGTTTAATTTAGCAGTGCAGCACTTACATACTACGGTGTTGAGAGCTATTGAAAATTCGAAAACATACAGAGGACTAGGGAGAATTTTTACCCTGAGACCTTAAAGTGCTTAACAGTCACTTTATCAATAAACAAGTACAGCACTGCATATTGCACCATAAAAATATTTGTGCCGGACCCTTATTACTCCCCACTCCCATACATTTTGACACCCATCCTGCCCCTAAGCTAAGGGACCATCTCTAAATCCTTATCACACTAAAAAATTATGTAGTTGTAATTCATCACCAGTCCAGCTCCCCAAGGCTAGCAACACTGGATGCTGTAGTGCCGACAAGCTCAGGTGTTTATACCACTATATAATGTAACCTTCCAGAGGTCTAAATAAGCTTTTCTTAGATGCTTTAATGTATTACTGTAGTTACTTTTTAATCCCATACCATGTTTTACTATGGCACAACCTGTTCTCTTGGAACAGGACTGAGAGCAGCAACCAAGGCCAGTATGAAACATGTAGCTACGTGTTATGCAGTTCATGTTTTTAGATTTATGTCTGCTGTGAAACACCTTTTAAGGGCTGTATAAACATCACCGTTAAACCAATTTTTGAGTTCACTTGAGATTGTCACGCTTTAAAGCAAACAGTAAAATTGTTCATTTGATGCAGATTGCATTAGCTGCTCAATTTTCGGTCCTTGGGGGAAAACAGAATGATATGAAAATGAAACTATTTAAAGCATCCCCTTCCCTATTTACACTAGAGTTTATGGCAGCTAATCCTCCAAAATAGTAAATGTTGCCCAGGAATTATGCATAAACAGAATGGTTTATCAGAAGGAAATGGAGAGAAGAAATGTGTAAGATTCAGAGATTCTAAGGCCAGAAGGGATCACTGTGATCATCTAGTCTGACCTCCTGCGTAGCACAGGTCATAGAGCTTCCCCAGATTAGTTCTCAGAGCAGATCTTCTAGAAAAACATCCAATCTTGATTTTAAAATGGTCAGTGATGGAGAATCCACAATGCCCCTTGGTAAATTGTTCTGAGGGTTAATTACTCTCACTGTTAAAAATATACATCTTATTTCCAGTCTGAATTTGCCTAGCTTCGACTTCCAGACGTTGGATTGTGTTATACCTTTCTCTGCTAGATTTCAGAGACCATTAGTAAATATTTGTTCCCCATGTAGTTACCTATAGACTGTAATTAAGTCATCTTCTCTTTGTTCAGCTAAATACTGTAGATTGAGCTACTTGGGTCTATCAGTGTAGAGCAGGTCTTCTAATCCTGTGATCATTCTTGTGGCTCTTCTCTGAACCCCTCCAACTTAACAACATCCTTCTTGAATTGTGAACATGAGAACTGGACAAAGTATTCCAGCCGTGGTCGCACTTGTGCCAAATACAGAGGTAAAGTAACCTCTCTAACTCCTATTCAAGATATCCCTTCTTACGCATCCCAGGATTGCATTAACTCTTTTGGCCACAGCGTCACACTATGAGCTCATGCTCAGCTAATTATCCACTACGAACCCCCAAATCTTTTTCAGAGTCACTGCTTCCGAGGATAGAGTCCCCCATCCTGTAAATATGGCCTACCGTCTTTGTTCCTGAATGTATACATTTACATTTAGCTGTATTAACACACATAATGTTTGCTTGCACCCAATTTACAAAGTGATCTAGGTTGCTCTGAACCAGTGACGTGTCCTCCTCATTATTTACCACTCTCCCAATTTTTGTGTCATCTGCAAACTTTATTAGTGATGATTTTGTCTTCTTCCAGGTCTTGATAAACATGTATATAGTGTAGGGCCAAGAACTGATTCCTTTGCAGGACCCCACAGATTGACATAGAAGAGGTTAATATGTCTCTAAACACTACAGCTTTCGAAACAGGAAGTCTGGATACTGAAAGCAGAACAAAGAAAACAGTCTTTCTGCACATCATGCAATTTACAGATTTAGCCAAAAGGAAAATATGGAACATAACATATCAGAGGAGGGCTGTGGTACAATGGGAGTTCACTTCAGATAAGCTGTTTACAAAGTATACAACTCCATTTTGCAAAGCATCTTTCATACACCCTGTCCACACAGATTTCAATTCACTTTCACCGTTAAAATAAAAAAACAAAATCAGAGGGAGACAGAAGTGAAGTATGAAAAGATGTTTTCAGGTGAGATCTGAAAATGCTACCAACGGAAATGAGGTGGAGAGAGAGAGAATGAGGCTCTTGCACCAGAACTGATAAAACTGTGTGAGGAGAAGGAGAAGAGCTTGCTTCCCTTTACCCCACAGTTAATTCAGGAGCAGGCATCACTTCCTCTGCATCTGAAGCCATCTCCGGGGCTAGAGGGGAACCATCTCCTTCTCCACATCCAGCCCATCAACTCAAAGGAAAGTATCTCTGTATCCATTCCCAATTAGTTTAGGGGGCAACGTCTCTACATGCACCCCAGTCTGCTCAAGGGAAGGAATCCACTCAGAAGCATCCACCACAATCTGCTCAGGGGAAATACTTGATCCATGGGAAGGGATCTCCACATGTCCCACTGCCTGCCCCATGGGAACACATTCCCATGTCCACTTTTTTCTGGTTTGTCTTAGCTCAGATTTTTGGATCCCGTCCTCTCTGATAAGAAACTGCAAATAGACTAGTACCTTCCAACAAAACTTAGCAGCAGGTATGTACTGAGTCACAATTTTCCCCAGGTATCATAAAAAAGCACAGAACGATCCTTGTAACTGGAATATTTTGTGGAATGGGTGAGGTCTTGGGGAGTGTTTGGCCTGCACTGGGAAGCTGTTCCAGGCAGGTGGGAGTGTATGGAAGAAAGCAGAAAGCCCCGAGTGGTTGAAAAAAGGCAACAATCAGGAGTGACTTGGGTAGATTTGTGAGAGCAGTAGAGCCTGTAAAGAGAAATGAGGGCAGAGTTCTGAAATTATTACATTATTCATATAGTTGGGAGCTGGGAACTACGGAGTTCTGATTCTAGCTCTGCCACTGAGTCACTGTGTGGCCTGGAGCAAGTTACTTAACCTCTTTGAGTTTCAGTTTCCCCAACTCCTTATCCTCTCTCTCACCCTGTTGATTAGTTTGTTAATGTTTTGTATCATGCTTTGCAGCTGTAACATGTTATTTAGTTAATAAATATTGTTAATAATAATTAATAATGACTTACTCTGGCCAGGTACCAGCTGCGTCATTATTTACAAAGCTCTACTGGATTTTGCTGTGTTGTGCAGAGTTTACCCATCTGCACATTAAGCAATGTGTTGAATAATTTCTTTTCTGGCAGGCATATAAAGTGTAACTGACAGAATGGCAGCCACCGTTACTGAGAGCAGCTCTGAGGATCAATCCAGACGAATATTCTGCAAGAACCCATTTCTCAATATCAAGGTAGATACCTCAAGCATGCTCAAATCCCCCCAAGGTCACCGGGCAAGGAGAGAAAAGGAAGTGTTTGGTTTCTGCAGAAGTCATCTGTCCTTATTTCTTTTCATTAAATGATTGTTAAAGCTCAGACATGGATTTCCCTACTTGCAGAAGTTCAATGAGGAAAAAAGTGCTTTTCATCTAAAAAGCAAACCCTGCAAAAAGGATGTTACAACACAAGTTTTACTTACCATGTTTGCAATATTTAACCTTCCACTATTGAACTCTCTGCACCCATTATTGGAGCCAGATTTTCAGAAGAATTTCACGCCCCTTTAGGCATCTACCTATGGGCCAGATTTTCAAAAGTGCCCAGCTGGGGGCTGGGGGGCGTGGGGAGGGCCGCCTGCAGCAAGTAAGGGGGGGGCACGCAGGGGAACTGCTCCCCGCCCCAGCTCACCTCTGCTCCACCTCGTCCCCTGAGCACGCCACCCCGCTCTGCTTCTCTCTCTCCCAGGCTTGCGGTGCCAAACAGCTGATTGGCGCCACAAGCCTGGGAGGCGGGAGAAGTGGAGCAGCGATTGTGTGCTCGGGGAGGAGGCGGAGCAGAGGTGAGCTGGGACGGGGAGCTGCCACGGGGGAGGTGCCTCAGGGCGGAGAGGGGGAGCTGCTGGTGGGGGGGGGGTGCCCTCAGGGTGGGGTGAGGGTGGAGGTGGCGGGGGTGGGGAGCTGCCGTGGGGGGAAGCGCCTTAGGGCAGAGAGCTGCCACAGGGCTTGGGGAGGAGGGGGCGCAAGGTGGAAGTTTCACCTAAGGCGCGAAACATCCTTGCACCCTCCCTGCCCCCAACACGCTTCCAGTCCCAAATTTCCCCCCAAAATGTGTGTTCGCCATGTCCAGCCCTCTCCTTTCCTGAACAGTTCAGATGTTTTAGGCCTGTTGCCCCTGTAAGGGGTCAATGTACAACAGTTTGCTACTTTAATTGGAGTTAACAAACAAACAATCAGATTAAACACAACACTGGATTCGTTTTGATTAAAGAATAAAACAAGTTTATTTAACTACAAAGAGAGAGATTTTAAGTGAGTGCAAGTATAAGGTATTAAACTCAGAAATGGCTACAAGAGAAATCAAGATAAAATGCTTTCTAGTGCGAAACCTTAACAAACTAGACTTGGTTCCGGTAAAATTCTTACCACATGTTCCCAGCAATGGGGCTGACCAGATTCTCAACTCAGGATCTGCCCTCAAAATCCAAAGGGTCGGTTCCTTTGTCTTCTTAGGTGAAAGAGTGAGCGAGCAGGAAATACCTGGGGTGGGTTTGCCCCTCACTTTTATAATCCAGTCACCCTTTGAAGTGGATTCATCAGAGATTTACCCCTCAAAACAAATGTTATTCAAACAGTAAAGAGGGTGTTGTGGAGTCTGGGGGTGACCATGCCCCCATGCTCTTTCTTCTTCCCTGTGTATGCTAAAATGCAGATTTGCCTTGTCACCCTTTTACTGTCTCAAGGACCTTGTTTTCTAATTGTATGTAAATTAAGGTAAATACAGTCTCTTTGGTTAAGACAGACTTGCTTAACCACTCCTGCCTAATCAGGGCTACATGGTTTTGAACATGTGCTACCAACATCATACAGGGGACTTCATATTTTGTACAAAGTTTATTACAATAGTGTGTAGGGTGTGACTATAGGGGTGCATTCAGTCACAAAGTGGCTATGATAATACTTATTATGTGATAAGATCAGAGCTGCGAGATTTGATTCATTAATATTTGCAAAGTGCTTTGAGATTCTTGGACAAACAATGCTGTACATTTAGAGCATGAAGTTGATCACCTGATACTTTCTTATTAGATAATTTTACTAAGTTATAAAGTTACATGACCAATGCTTTGTTTTAAAGCAGGGGTCTCCAAACTTTATGAGACGAGGGCCATATTAGATTTTTGAAGGGGCTTCGCGGGCTGAAGCGACTGTGAAAGAAATTAAATATATGCAAATATATGCAAAATCGTTAAAAAAACAACACTATTCTACTGTGTCAGTGTTGCATTAAATTCTAAATCAGGTATAAAAGTTAATCGATGCAGGTACTGTGAAATCACACAAAATATTTGTCAATACATTAAAAATCATTTCACAACATTTTTTTATTGTATTTCTAAAAACTCACACATTTGTATCATACAAATACTGTTTGGTTCTATTAGTGATATAGTTAACATTTAACCGTTATGAAATTGTTAATTTCCATCTTCTTTACTCCATTTATTGGAGATGTAATTAAGCATCTGGCTTGTATTTTTACTCCTAAGGCAGGGGTCCATGCCTGCTCGGCTGCACCAATGACTCTCCCCTAAGTTGGGTCCCCTTTTGGGGGGGACACTGGCTCCCAGAGGCGCTCACCCCTCTGCACAGCTCAGCTGAGCTACCCCTGCCACCCGATCTGCTGCCGGCAGCCCCTCCCCCTGCCTGCTTAGCTGCCTGCAGCCTGCCTATTTGCTTCTCCCTCTACCTGCTTTGCTGAAGCAACGACTCTCCCCCTAAGTTGGCTCCCCTTTTGTGGGGACACTGGCTCCCAGAGGCACTCACCCCTCTACACAGCTCAGCTGTGCTGCTGCTGGCAGCCCCTGCCTGCTCATGCCTACTCAGCTGTTTGCTTCTCCCCGTTGGTTGGAGGGCCGGACAAATGGAAGCCCCGGGCCAGATCCGGCCCGCAGTTTTGCGACCCCTGTTTTAAAGCACTGGAGTAAAACAGGCATTGCCCTGCCTGATAATAAGACTTTTCAAAGTGTTTTAGAAACATTAATGGATTTTGCCTCGCAACCCCCTCTGAGGTAGGAGAGTATCATTATCCCTGTTTTGAGAGATGGAGAAGCTGAGGCTCTTGACGTACCCACAGTCACACAGAGAGTTTGTGGGAGAGCCAAGAATGTAACCCAGATTACCTGACACAGTCCTATGAGTTAGCCACAAAACCATTGTTCTCATCAACTTTATTTTGTTCTCATGGATGTCCAAGTGCAAGTAAAACAAAGCTAATGTTTCTCTATGACGATGCCTACGAAGTGACATGCACTGAAACTAATTAGTAATCTCTAAGAAACAAGCTGCAATAAGAGTGCCAATGATGTGTGACACAAGGAAGCTCTGAAACCGGCGATTATTCTGGCCCAATCAGCAGTTATACTCCTGAGTTCTCTCCTGAGATGAGAGAGACATGGAAGTCTTCCTCAGAAATGTTGCAGGCCAAAGTGCCTGATAATGGACTGTGTTGTTGTGTGGAACTGGAAGGCTTAGGGAATTGGTTATTGGTTTCTGAGCCTTTCTTTGCTGAGACACGGGTCTGAAGCCAGCCCTTGCTGGTAATGGAAAATAGTTATTTTTTTGGTGGCTTACTTTCTGTGACATGAGCAAGTGGTTTCAATCCAGCTCCCAGTGCATAGATTACACTCAACCTCCTTGTTGGTATACTCAGCAAAGAGACTGATTGATTTGATATGGACACTAAACATTCTTCTCATCTCTAGAAGGGATCCTTCCAGGTCAGAATTGAAGCATGTTGGCATGGTGTAACAGTATGTACTCATCCCTGCGGTGCCTCCTGCTGGTCTCTCAGGGAATTAGCTCGATTTCCAGCCCAGAGTGCCCCCTGCAGGCCAGTGATCCGCCACAGCTTGGCCCCCGTGTCCCTCCGTGGACTCCGGTGCCCTGTTAGCTGTGGTGCTGCCCCCTGGCAGTAACCCCTTTCTCTCAGGGTCTCCCCTCCCCAGGAAACCCCCAACCCCTATCCCCACCTCACCTCAGTATAAGGCTACTGCCAGTCATCATCTAGCCCCACTCCCTAGGGCAGACTGCAGTATCAGCCTACTCATCACTGGCAAGGTTGGGTTTAGACCTGCTGCCTTTGCCTACCCCTGGGCTGCCCTCTGCAACCCCTAGTACCCCTTGGCCTTCTGCTAGGCTGCAGCCTGGGGCTTTCCAGGCTGGAGCTCCCCAGCTCCTCAGCCTTTCCTCAGCCCTGCTCCACTTAGGTACTCTGTCTCTAGCTCCCTGCAGCCACACCCTTCTCTCTCTGAATGCAGAGAGAGACTGCTGAGCTCCTGGCTCCCAGCCTCTTTATACAGGCCAGTTGAGGCCTGATTGGGGTGTGGCCCAGCTGTGGCTGTTTCCCCAATCAGCCTAAGGTTTTCTCTCTCAACCCCAGCCCTTTCCAAGGGCTGTCTTTAAACCCCTCAGAGCAGGAGCAGGTGACCACCCCACTACACATGGCAATGTGGGGAACATTTGCACTGCTGCTGTCCATGTTCTGCAGTTGCTAACCCAGCACTTTTCCAGCACTAAACTCTCTTCCAAAAGTCTGAGAGAAAAGATGAGTGAGCAGTGTTCTATTTCACATCTCCATGTACAGTATAAACTACCTGCACAACAGCCTAGATCCCTAGAAAACTCTCTTGCAAAGAAATCTAGAGTTTGCTTCTAGGAGCTTGGCAAGTCTTTAAAAGCATTTGCCACCTGACCTGTCTCTTAGAGATTTTTCTTTGTTGGAAAGGACGTTATGAATGTGTCAGAAATCCCACCCGAAATGTAAACCCGTGGAAACGGCATCATGTGCTTTGTGTGAGCAAGTGTATTGGGTTGCAGCTCATTGTGAGTTTGAACACTATAAAAAGAGATGATTAAGCTGTCATGTGGATTTGTGCATGTGCCAGGAGAGCCGAGACACAAGAATTCACTCCTACTGCATGTTGAATGCTCTGCAGAGAAGCTTCCCCCCTGCGTTATGTTGCTTTCATGAAGTTAGGTCACTCAGGTTTCAGAATCAATGTCTGACTTCCTCACGTTCTAGGAGACAATTTTAGAATCAGACCGTAAAACATTTAATGACACATTGCACTAATTCCTACTGCAAAGTGGACAAAATAAGGATTTGATGCAGCTTCCAGTAAAGTCCATGGCAAGACTCTATTGAGTTCTGTAGAAGCAAGATCTAGCCTTGACTTAATATAGTGAACGTTAGG